AAAGCCTCTAAAAATGTTACTAGTTCACAAAATTCTTAAATTATTTAATTTTTTATGAAGGATTTTCTTTAAAAATATTTTCTCGTAAGCGTCATTTTGTATGAAATACGACAAAATGTGATAAAATTTCTACTAAGTTAACGACACTTTTTACTCAATATCTCAGAAACTAAACGAATATCCTAAAATGGAGAACGCCATTTTTAAGATATTGATTAGTTTAATGAGACTGAATCACTAACTAAATTTTTACTAAATTATCAAAAAAGTTATAGTCAGTATCTTGGAAACTAAAGGAGATATCTAAAACTAACAACACCAATCGAAACATCTTATTTCAAAATATATAACTGCTTCTAGAACTTAAAATCGTCAAAATTGCGCTTACGACAATATTTTACCCAGGCGACGATATGTAATAATTCTATATTGGCCGTAAGCTACTACATAACTTCTTAATGTGTAAAAATTTCAAAATCAAAACGAGATACTCTAGTACCAATGTTTTCGCACGGTACTAGCTGTTACTGCCAGTATAGGAATATTACATATATGGAAGATTGGCATTAGGAATGTTTATCCCGGGATCCCGGACTTTTCACTCTGACGTCAGTAATTCAAAAATTATTTTAAAAAATCAGAGAAATGTGCTTATAGAAGAAGTCCGGGTAGAAAATTAAAGAGGAAATCCTGTAGCATTTAAACAGAATTTAAACAGATTGGTGGAGAAGGACTGGTAAGTATTGAAAATGTCCTTTTAAAATTTTGTCTTTGAAATTTCGCAATATTTGTTTATGAAAAAATTATATGTTAAGGACTTATATAAACTCGATAACATCCTCCCGCCCTTTTAACTTTATCAAACAAAAAATTACCTATTCGTCCTTGTGAATCCATAAAATTTTAATATATTTTTTAATTCTAAAGGAATTTCCTCTTGCATTTGGACCCATATTTTTATTCTAGATTGCATTGCATTTTTTAAATAATTTTTGGAGTTAATCATATCTTTGAAATTACAAAGTCCTTTAAAATAAATCCTGACGTCAAAGAGAAAAAACAAAAACGCCCCTTTCAATAAAAAAGTAGGTTTCAAACCCATTTATCGCCCAGTTGTCGAAATTCGGCACCCTTTTTCTTACACTTTTGAATTTTACCTATCACCAATAGTAACTCCTTTATGCGAACTACTATTTTGAAGTCCACCAGCATAATTTATTGCGAATTCACAGGAAAACTTAAAATCGAATTATGAACGTTAATACCGGATATATATACCAATTCAGACTGTAAATAAGTTTTTTCATTATATTTGTCTGAGAGCTTCTTGGAGGTTAAAAACTAAATTGCCCCCAACTACATAAACTTTCTTTTTTTCATCAGAATCGTTAACGGTTGAAAAAGTACCTTGAAGGTTTACAACAAAAGATAATATTTAGCTCTCTAACGGTGGTTTAACACGCGGTTTTTTCAAGAGCCAGAGCCCAATATTATTTCATCACACGATTTATATACCAAGTTATACCAAATAATACCAAACTTTACGTTACTAATATGTGTTCTAAAAGTGAAACAAATCTGATCAAAAATATGATTTTTTAGTATAACTAGATATAGATAGACAAACACATTAATCCTTCCAAAACCTTTGCACAAAATAACAATCATTAAATAAAATGTGGGAGCAAATTGTTCCCAATTGAATGATTCTTGCGAGTTTATATGTGTTTAAAATTCCATTACCTTATAATAGGTGGTTCCAGAGATAAGCGATATGAGCATTTCAGTTTGCATGGGCGGTGCCACGCCCCCTTTCCAATTATCTACCATTTTTCACTGTAAGTAGGGTATTTACAATCTTTGCATCTGTGCTAAGTTCCAGTTCCCCAGGATAATTGGTTTTAGAGATATAGTGGTTTTCGCATTTTAGTCTATATGTCAGATGCCACGCCCCCTATGTATCGGGATTAACATTTCGGGTTAGAGGAAGTTATATCCTTTAAATCGGTGTATTTTTCATTGAAATCGTGCCTTCAAAAAAAGGGATTGCTAAATTTTCTTGTGGAGCTTGTGTAAGCTTCTCAAACAATAAAGATTTCGATTTAAGTTGTTGAAAAGTAATGAATATCTGAATTTCTGGGACTAATCCCGGGATCCCGGGATTGTGATAACGAACTCCCGAAAATCCCGTAATGAAAAATTAACATCCCTAATTGGCACCTACTTATTTAAAAGGATAAATTCAATTTTATTAATAAGCCAAATGAAGTATTTGATTTGAATGGCCAATGAACAAGGTTTAGGAAAGTTTTATTTTGAAAATATTTTGAAGAAGTTTGCCACCTGTTTAGAAGTAAAATTCCATAAAAATTTCCAACGCGATTCCATCGGATTCCAACTAATATTTTATAATATACATCTGTATGTATGTATGTATATAATTGCTTCTGTATACTATGAATGCTCTTTATCACCAAATATCTCTATTATTGTTGTGTCAAAGTGCAACTCGTTAACGGCAGTAAACATAAATATATATATACTTTACTTGGCCTCATCTTATTAAGTTAATTGTACTATAACCAATTATGAGGTCCCTGCGCTGTAAAATTTACAACCTTATAATCCATTATCACTCTACTAAACTTTCGGGCAATACAATTTATTATATGGGAAACGTAAAGCCAAGTTGAGTAAATAGTACAATAAAATGATTCTTCCTCAAGTTATGTATGTATGTATTTATTTAGTGCAGACAACAGCTTGTGTTTGACGCCCACAGTATTTGTCAACACACATCGCAATTTACAACATTTTTTAATCTATTGGTGTAAAATGCAACAAAAAAAACTGGCTCAGTGTGAACGCAACAACATTTCAGCAATAACACACACTAGAACAGTTGCTGCTGTCCATTAGCTTATAAAAAAAAAAATCGAAAAAATAAAGAATCCAATCGTGTTATTCTTAATCAAGAAAGTAGAATAAGATAAATTAAATGAACACTTGCGTTGAGGAATTGGTTGGTGTTACGTTGGTTATTTATAAACCAGCAGCGAATGTTGAGCGTAACTAAGTAAGCGAGATCTTATAAATGCAAAGAGCAAGAGCTTTTGTAAAGATCAACTTTTAATCAGCTTTTTTCTGTTATATTGAGAGCGTAATTGTTTTGGATGATCATTTGATCAAATAGCAGTGTTTTACTGGTTGAAATTTAAGATTTAAAAGTTTTTTCTTGCCAGCAAAAACCTCGGAAGTCTGCCCCTGCCTACCGGATGGCGACCGCTGTTAGAAAAACTTTTTCTAATTTCGCTGCTGCCCGGAGCAGGATTCGAACCCTATTCGCTATGCCACAAAGCCTATTTTTTTGCAAAATTTAATGAGAAATTTAAATGTAAAATTAAAGTAAAACACTATAGAAATAGTTTAGTTGAGAAAAAATTCTTTAGAATAACATGTTCATGTCAATAAAATTAAAACCTAATAAGTTAATTTATGATGTGTTGGAGCCTTATGATTTTTTTTTATTTAGTTTAATTAAAATTTCGATATTGTAATAAAAATTGATTTTGAGGGAAAATTATTTTTATAACATTCTACGGAAGATTTCAAGTTTTTAAATGACACAAAAAACGCTGAAATCCTAGATTATGGATCTGTATCCCTTTTTTTCATATCAGATCTAAATCTATGTTTAGCAAGGAAAAAAATTAAAAAGATAACAAATCTTTTTTTTACATGTATTAAAGCGTGTTCTTGTGCTAAAAAATCAAGTTACTAACGATGAAGATCTATTTATAAAGAAATAAGTTTTGAGTGATAAAATGAAAATATGCAATTTTTTTTTTTTTAAGTAGGAGTGGGAAATAATGTTACTCATACGCCATATCGTACATGGCCGTAATCGTAAATACTCACACATGGCGTATGAGTAACATTTTCTATGTTTCTGTTAGAAGCTGTGTTAAGACAGAAATGTCAGGTGGAGACCGCAAAATTCCACTGTTAAACCATATCTGTCTTCTTCTTCTCCTTCTTCTGTGTAACGCTGTCTTAATATCTGCTGTCATTTCGCAGTTTGACAACTCAGTTTTCATTTTACCGCGCCATCTACATTGGGTAAAGATCCTGCTAAACAACAATTTTTTTTTTCAGGGTATGCGCTTTTATCTACAAAGCCCAGCAAATTTGTTTGGAGGATATGAAGATATACTTCCTTCTTCATTATTCCTTTAAATTTAATCAACGGCACAAAATTCCAGCAAGTAAAACACCCCAGGTCATTAAGCATTAGTATATGACACCGTTAAAAATCGCTGGAACAAAGTCCCTCCATATCTTTTTCCGTCTGCTACAGGATTTCCATTTTCGTCAGCCATTCCTGCCTGTCAGTATCTCAAGCTCTTCGCATTGACATTTTCCTGCCTTCTCTCTTCTCTCCTATTTCTCTTCACCGTATTGTCACTCGGGCTGCAATTATAGTACAGGGGGGGCTTGATATGATGCATACCGTCGTTGAAAAATGTAAAACAGCGAATCGTGGAAGCTCCTGGCATCAAGCCATCGCCAATGCGTAAAATCCTGTAAATCTTTCACAGAATCTCTTCTTTCTCCCGAAAACTCCAAGAGCCACCTCATCGGATGTTGTCATTATTCATGCTTCGGTGCCATATACCAACACGGGCATGATGAGTCACTTATAGAGTGTGATTTTCATACGCCGAGAGAGAATTTACGCCAGAATTGCCTACTCAGTCCATAGTAGCACTTGTGGGCAAGAGTGGTCCTGCGTTGGATTTCGATGCTGACATTATTATCGGGTTTAATGCTGGTTCCCAAATAAACGAAGTCATCTACTTCTTCAAACTTTAAACTGCCAACAGTGACATGTGTGCCAAGACGTGTATGCTCTGACTGTTTGTGTGATGACTTCATTTTGTCCTCGTTCACCACCAGATCCAATCGCTTTGCTTCTCTATCCTTTTCAAAGAAGGCAGAAAAGACGTAGCCCCTTGCTTTTACCGATAATATCGATTTCGTCGGCAAACGCCAGCAATTGCACGCTCACATTTACTTTAGGTAATCTGGACATTCCAAATGCATATCCGTAAATCGTAGGAGTTTATAGCAAAAGTGGTAATGAACATAAGGTTCGGACTTCTTAAATTATTCTAGTATGTAACTGCGGTCGATTCTAATAAGATCAAAGAAGACCTTAGAGAGAAGGCATAATAATATGAGAACTGAGATGGATGTGTTAGACATCAGCGGGGATTCGACGAACCGTTGTGATTTAAATAATAGTTATTCTCAAAAACCTGTACACCTCATAAATCCACTATTCATTAGCCCACATCGGCGCTGGTATTCGGCCGCGAACCAGTGACACTAATTTATTTAACCGCATCCATTAAAAATAGCTGAAAATCGTTTTTGATATTGCAAATAAACAAAATTTCGATTAATTTATTTTGGCGTACTAATCTTTTGTATCTTTTGTGTGCACACTTAGATGGAAAAGATTTAGCCACAATTGCTCCTTGTTGCTGACGTTCGGGTGTGTGTTTAGTGTCGTTGTAGTGTTGTAGTTGTGTTTTCGAGCTTCCACTAATGCCACCACTAAGAAAATAAACAATCTTGTCACGAGACAACTGCGTCAAGGTAGGGGAACTACATACATACATGTGTATGTATGTCCAAATGCACATTGCGGCATAGAATAGATCGAAGTGGGGGAACAGAGACTGAATAGAAACGATGCTTTTGCGTCAGGCGCCACATCAATTGGTGCGTCAAGCGATTCATTATTCTATTCGATTTAAAGACTATAAATAAAATTTGAAACTAAATTGAGTTGGATTATCCAACAACTGCTTAAATACATACATACATACATACATCTACTTGATGGAACTATGTGTACTTTCTAGGCTTATCGAAATAAGAATTATATAGAATTGCAATAAGCGAAGTAGCTTAGAAGTATTTTTTCGGAAACTCGAGATTAAATTGAGCTGCTCACCTTATTTGTTTTTATTTCAACGAAGATAGCATATGAATGATATTATGTATGTTTGTGCATACATATCGCACCTTGATACCTAAGCCGCGTAAACCTCTAGAAGATCCCTAAAGTTTTCGGTCGACCTATCCGTCTACTAGACTCAGCAGGTAAATCTTCAAGCATATAACAGCGAAGCGTCTCGACGGGGAAGTCCAAGAGAAAGGGGAATATCGGCAACCCATTCAGGTTTAGGAAATGGAAATCCACTGTGGATGCGGTATCAGAAGTCATTAAGTTAGTACGGGATGCAACAAGCGGTGCAGTGTGGCTGGGAGGAGCAAAAGAGTACTACGTGATTGTAACATTAGACAGCAAGAACGTGTTCAACTCTACCAACTGTGCTAAGACTCTAGATATACTGGAGAGTATTGGAATTTCTTACTACCTTCGAATACTAATACGTAGTTATTTCGATTCGCCAGTGTTGTAGTACGAAACGCAGGAGGGCCTGAAACGGGCTGAAATAACAGGTGGTATTCCACAAGGATACGTACTTGGTCCTTTGCTATGGAATATTATGTATGATGGAGCTCTTCGCAACGAATTTCCAGAGGGATCGTCTATAATAGGCTTTGCGGACGACAATGCGGTAATAGTGTCTGCGAAACAGCTTGATGTCATATGCGAGAAGGTAGCCTTATCAGTCCGCTTGATTTAAAGATGGTTAAATAGCTTCGGTCTGAAGCAAAAATTTTCTCGAGTTGGAAGAAGTTAGACGAGGTGGCGTCAAAAATTTGCGACCGCATAATCGCGACGAAACCTGCAATTAAATACCTGGGAGTGGTGCTAGACATCCGTCTTAATTTCAGCGCCTATTTCAGATGTGTGAGAGAAAAAGCAGCTTCAACGATCAAGGGACTATCGCGAATAAAGTTTAACATGCGGGGACCGAAACAGCGCAGGCGTCTACTCTTAGCGTGTGTGGTTAAAAGCCGAATACTGTATGCCGCTCCAATTTGGTCAAACGCGGCACAGTGTCCAGCATACTTCCGCGTCTTCAGAATAGTTTCGGACGAAGCAGCTTTTGTAATCGCCAATATGATACCCGTAGATATACTGGCGAGAGAAACGATGCTCCTTGCATCCACGCCGCATACTCTAACGCAATTTGACCGACGCCGAGCACGGGAAAGCAGCCAATTGAAACTAGCCGTTGGAGGGGTGTTTACGCTATACTTAGTCAGTAGTCGACTATATGATGAAAGGAGCAATTGAATGGGCATCGACACAGCAACTTGGAACCAAACCATGATATTCACCAACCAAAGCGAAGGCGCGCACTGGGACCTGGGGATTTCAAGCCGACAGAGCAGTGCGGATTTGAAATTTATGCACTCGAAGAGCAGGTGCCGTGCGGATTGGAACCTAGGCCGTTCCAACCGTCAAGACAGTACGGCTTAGAAACTTGCGCATTCAGACCGCCTATTGAACATGAAATTTACCAATTAAAGCGTAAGCGCGGACAGGAACCTAGGCCTTACCTAGCCGCCTAGGCGATGCGGTAACGAAAATGTATGCAATCGAAGCGTAGGCTCGGACTGAAACCTAGGCCGTACAAATACGTAAACGGGCGTGAAACTCGCCTCTTATGTAGGCCTGCTCAATGCAATACTAATAATAATTTTAAGGAATTTATTCTTAATATTTAAGCAAGCGAAAATATAGGCGTAAAGAGATAAATAAATAGTTAAAAAAAGGTCGTCCTCCTTAAACACGGTGTAGCCCAAGACAGGGGAAAAAATTAATTTCCAAAAAATTTGAGTTGAGACTGTTTTTAGTTTAGGGTGCGATATGCACACCTATGGCTACCAGCCACAGACATTAAATACGCTTCCTCAGTTTTCTCCATTTTTTCTTTTCCCTTTGTTTTGCTTGTTTGCTTGCCCTCCCTTACCTCCACTATTGGATTTGTATTGAGGCGCGTAACTATCGTATNACGACGCTCCTTGCATCCACGCTGCATACTCTAACGCAATTTGACCGACGTCGAGCACGGGAAAGCAGCCAATTGATACTAGCCGTTGGAGGGGTGTTTACGCTATAGTCAGTAGTCGACTATATGATGAAAGGAGCAATTCAATGGGCATCGAAACAACAACTTGGAACCAAACCATGATATTCACCAACCAAAGCGAAGGCGCGCACTGGGACCTAGGCCGTTCAAGCCGACAGAGCAGTGCGGCTTTGAAATTTATGCACTCGAAGAGCAGGTGCCGTGCGGATTGGAACCTAGGCCGTTCCAACCGCCAAGGCAGTACGGCTTAGAAACTTGCGCATTCAGACCGCCTAGTGAACATGAAATTTACCAATTAAAGCGTAAGCGCGGACAGGAACCTAGGCCTTACCTAGCCGCCTAGGCGATGCGGCAACGAAAATTTATGCAATCGAAGCGTAGGCTCGGACTGAAACCTAGGCCGTACAAATACTTAAACGGGCTTGAAACTCGCCTCTTATGTAGGCCTGCTCAATACAATACTAATAATAATTTTAAGGGATTTATTCTTAATATTTAAACAAGCGAAAATATAAGTGTATTTGTAAAGAGATAAATAAATAGTTAAAAAAAGGTCGTCCTCCTTAAACACGGTGTAGCCCAAGACCGAGTACAAGCCACTGGAACGAACGTGCGAGCCTAGTGCACAAACCGCCACTCGACGAAATGCTTGACGGTGGTACCGGGATGATCAGTACATGTACTGCCGGAGGATGTTTAGTTCAGGGTAAAGTCCCACCCTAACGGGTATAGGCTTTCGATGCTTCCTCCTCTTAAAAAATCTTTCGCCCCATAAACAAAAACAGTAACAACTTAAAAAATCCCAAATGTTCTGGAGAGGAAAGAAACTGTTAACACAAGCGAAATAAAAAGAGGCTTAATAGTCTTTTTCCAGTTAAAGAAGATGGTGTTGCAGAAGATATTTTGGCGGACGTTAGATACGAGTACATATATGGTATGTGAACCGTTTTATGGGAAAAAATTAATTTCCAAAAAATTTGAGTTGAGACTGTTTTTAGTTTAGGGTGCGATATGCACGTACACACCTATGTCTACCAGCCACAGACATTAAATACGCTTCCTCAGTTTTCTCCATGTTTTCTTTTCCCTTTTTTTGCTTGTTTGCTTGCCCTCCCTTACCTCCACTATTGGATTTGTATTGAGGCGCGTAACTATCGTATGCTGTTAATTTTACTACCGTTGGCAACTCTGTCTTTGGGTTAGCCAAATGCTTACCAACAACTGTTTTATTGACGTAAATTTATCAGGTGCAACGGCAGTAAACTTAAGAAATGCGAAAAAATTAAGGAAAGTTCAAGCGTGGAAATTAGTTCCACTTGTCGAAGAAGTTAACAGAAACAAACAAACGGTTACATACATATGTATGTATGTANTGCTGTTAATTTTACTACCGTTGGCAACTCTGTCTTTGGGTTAGCCAAATGCTTACCAACAACTGTTTTATTGACGTAAATTTATCAGGTGCAACGGCAGTAAATTTAAGAAATGCGAAAAAATTAAGGAAAGTTCAAGCGTGGAAATTAGTTCCACTTGTCGAAGAAGTTAACAGAAACAAACAAACGTGTATGTATGGACATATGCAGATAAGGCGTGGAAAGGCACTTGTGTGTGTATTCATGTAAAAGAATATAGGCATGTATATAAATGCATTCAGATATGTACATATTATACATACCCTGCAGGGAAAGCTACTAGTTGTGAACCAGAATTCTACCAGTTTGCCTTTCAGCCGAACTAGTTCACGTTCTATCCTTTTTCAGTGTAAGCGACCGGTNGCTGTTAATTTTACTACCGTTGGCAACTCTGTCTTTGGGTTAGCCAAATGCTTACCAACAACTGTTTTATTGACGTAAATTTATCAGGTGCAACGGCAGTAAATTTAAGAAATGCGAAAAAATTAAGGAAAGTTCAAGCGTGGAAATTAGTTCCACTTGTCGAAGAAGTTAACAGAAACAAACAAGCATGTATGTATGGACATATGCAGATAAGGCGTGGAAAGGCACTTGTGTGTGTATTCATGTAAAAGAATATAGGCATGTATATAAATGCATTCAGATATGTACATATTATACATACCCTGCAGGGAAAGCTACTAGTTGTGAACCAGAATTCTACCAGTTTGCCTTTCAGCCGAACTAGTTCACGTTCTATCCTTTTTCAGTGTAAGCGACCGGTATTTTTAACATTGCGATGTCCTACGAGATGTCAATTGTCAAGCTATGCATCAGCATCTACTAGTAAAAATACTAGTAGCATCATACCAGTTGATGAGATAGTCTGCCAATTCATCCCCGTGATTAGCATAAGTATGCCTGTTTGCTCGCAGCGCCCCAACAGCCACAATGGCCGACAGAATACAGACAGGAATAATAAGAATATTGACTTGCTAGTATCGGAACTATTTCTAAACGTTGATTAGCCAAAAGTTCTTGAACGGCCCGGCGCTAGTGAATCATTCGGGATCGTAAGCTGCGAATGCCGCATTACGCTAGGCGCACATTGCATCCGATAGGCCGACCGATTTCGGCCGAACAATTTGACCGTCCGAAATGATGCGCACACTTAACCAGATTATTTGCCGACCGTATTTGTACACACAAATCAAGTTTTCATTACAATTTTGCGAGCAGTAAAATATTTTGATACATTTTAATTGACATGCTCTAAACATGTGATTTTATATGTAATTTTTTTATTTTTGCACCCAATAAGTTAATTTTTCGCAGTTCATTTTGGTACTTTTCATCTGACATCGGACGAGAAAAACAAACATGTTTGAATTTATCGTCACTGACGGACGTCAACGGCCGATGTAGGTTCGGTTATCGGTTTATGTGTGAGAGCGCTCATATAATCGCAAGTGTTTATTCATATCGCCCGCATATAGCCGATATCGGCCGAGCACAATTCGGCCGACGCCGGCTGCAGTGTGCGCGTAGCGTTATACTAAAGCCAGCCTTTCGACATAAGCTACTGTTCCATACGACCATAGATAAGTATGTAGATGAACAGGATACAATATATGGCGTTGCGGAAAATAACGGATATAAGATAGGCCTGGTTGAAAAGCTAAGAAAGGACACAAAATCGAAAAAGACAAGCAAAGAGGAAAACAATAAAAAAAAAACTTGGGCAGCTCTAACCTACACGGGAAATACATCTTATAAACTTGCCGCAAATATTGCAAAACTAATAAGACAACCAACAAAAAATATCCAGAACGAAAAATGACACTGAAGATGGCACAACGCCGAAACCGGTTTGTCTCCAAACCAAATTTAAGAAGGGATGACGGAAATTCGTTCCAAAATACATAATAAGTTTAACACATTAAATTTCTTCGCTGGAGTCTAATCTAAAGATGGAAAAAAATATAAGTTCCAATTTAAGCGTGATTGCGCATATTGGACATTTCCGTCGGTTTAAGCTTAGAAATAAAAGGGACTGATGCTTGGCATCGATGCATTTACGAAGTCATATTATTTATGTATATTTCTAAAATAGGTTTTAAGCATGGATTCATTTAAATTAGATCATATCGACGGCTGAGGGGAAGATGAGCCCATCTCGGCTGCCGGTTCGAAAACGCCCTATCTCAGAAAACTTTTTAAGAACGCCCTTCTGCAGAAGGTAGGTATGTATCTATGTTAAAAATATCTTTCATTAGTTTATAAGTTCCGACGATATATGTATTATTCACAATTAATCACATTCCGCAGTCAAATGTCTCACCAGTCACAATGTGTTTTCACTTATTTGACCACAAATCCCATTGAATTTTCGTAGAGGGAAAAAGCCTGGAACCAAAGAAAAAAATTGTTAAGTTGAGCTTCTTTGGCTGGCAGAACCTTGTCGTTAAACCTCAACCAGTTGAGCAATTTTTTTAAGAGTCGCAGGTTAGGTTACGTATGTATCTATAATCTGTCCGTGAACATGAAGTTAGTTTTGAATATCCCAGCTACCAAAAGGTAAAAAGCTTAGTGATATAGAACGAATATTACTTTCTTCAAATCACCTATGTATGTTTGTACATTAGGGCGGTCAAAAAAAAAGTTTAAAATGTTAAGCTTCTGCACCGAAAAAAATATATCCCTTTTTTTAAATCAAAAAAATATTTTAGAGGTCGTTGAAAGACTCAAAATTTGTCACGTATGTATTTTACATGAGGAAAAAATTGTTTTCCTAAAAATGGGAAAGAATTCTTGAAAATCAGCTTTTTGTCTCTTCAGGAGACTTCCATTTTTTAATATTAATTATTTTTTATAGGTCCCCTAAAATGCAATGAGGAACCCGCAAAATTCGTTAGCATTAAAAAATTGCAAAATTGTCTTTTTCCTATACATAATGTATGGAAAATCGGCCAGTGTTGCCAACTTTTGATTTTGAAAAAGCACCAAAAACTTGGAAAAAAGCGTTTACCACACTAAAAGCACCAAATGGTTTTGAATCAATGGATGCTTTTTTCATAACAGTTTGTATGTATTTAACAAAAACAAAAAATTACCAATATTTACAAGAATGCATACATAAATGAATAAACAAAACTTTTTCGCTCATAACGATTGAAAAGCCACATGCTATAATGACTCATGCTTACGACGTAATACCGAAAACTAACTAACTAATTAAAACTGATATGAAACGAAAATGATGCCCTAAGTAGAAATGAGCAAAAAAAAAAATTATGTTTTCATTATATAACCTCAAATATCGCGAAAAAAACCGTTATTTTAGCACTCTGAGGTTAGGATACCTCAAAATTCTAGTGCTAGAGCGAGTGTGCGGCCAGATTTGGATTCAGCACCATGAAACGATGTGTTTTACTCAGGTGGTACAAAAAAATAAATTTTTACAAATAGAAAAGAAAAAAATAAAAATTTAACTTACTCGCTTACTTTTACTTTGCAAGTTCAGCTTTTTATCAATCATGGTTGTATTTAAGTGCATTTAAATTTGAAGATTTTTTTAAATTCGGTGCTGCTACGGCTTTAAATATTTAAAAACTATTTCAGGTTTTATCTATATCGGAGTAATTTTAGTTCAGAAAAAAGGCACTAAAGAAGGCACTAGGCACTAAATAATTTTTTTCTGGCGTTTTAATTTTCAAAAGGCACTAAATCTAGTGCTTAAAGCACCAAGTTGGCAACTATGAAAGTCAGCCCTTTGAGCGAACTCTAAATATTTTTTGATTTCGAAATAAAAAAAGGTATATTTTTCGATAAAAAAGAATCCATTAAAATTCGGACTTGACTTTTTCACGTGCGTTTTTGGACCACCTTATTGCACATACATATGTATGTACCAATTGTACTGTGCACGTAGGTGTCATAAGACTTAAGTCACAATTCTCTTAAGCGTCATTATTATGTCAACACTTGACAATATTAGTTTTTCATAAATTCCTGTTTTAATTTCGTCAAGTGGATAATCAAAAAAATGTATTGTACGGGCACTTGTAAAAAAGTTGTTTTCAAATTAGGATTCGCAAATAACTGGCAAACTAAAAAATAAATAACAAAGCACATACATAAATATATATGTGCTTATATTTATTTGACATGTTTATTTAACAAAATAAAATTAGTTGAAATAAAAATGTGCTATGTATGTATGTTTTCTAGAATATCACAGACTAAGCCAGTACATTTGGCAAATTTCATAAATTATTTCAGTGCGTGCATAGAAAAATGTGTATCAACTAATTTATTTAGATGTCAGCAAGCATTCCAAGTTCAGCGCTAAACAAATTAATCAATCTTTTAAGAAGAGATTTGTGGATTTCTCTCTCTTCCGATGCGAACACAATGAATTGAATGCGTATACATAGTTGAATATGCATATTATTGGAAGATTCTATGTTATTTTATAAATTCAATACGCACACAGATATTATGCATACTTATGTATGTATGTACATTAGGGTGGTAAACAAGAAGTAAAGTCGGAATTTTAATGATCTCACCCTCAAGGGTTGTTTTATAACCGAAAAAATATACCCCTGTTTTTTGATTTGAAATAAAGGAAATATTTAGAGGTCGCTTGAAGCGCGCGAAGTTTTCCATGTTAAACAATTTTCGTATAAATAATATGCAATTTTGAAATTCAATATTTTTCGATCGAAAAACCCAAAAACCTCAAAAAATGCAATGGCGGCACCTACAAAAATAAAACAAAAATGGTAAAATAAACAATTGGGAAGTTATTGGAAGTTCCCGAAGAGAAAAATCGAAAAATATTGATTTTCCAGAATTCATTTCCACGAAAAATTGTATTTTTTTCGATATAAAATACATTGAAATCTTTGAGCGCTTTGAGCGACCTCTAAATATTTTTTGATATCTATATCATAAATAGGGTTATATGTATAGAACAATCTTCTATAGGTGGGAGCATTAAAATTCGGACTTTAATTTTTTCACATCCATTTGCGGACCACCCAAATGTACATATGTATGTACGTACTATGTGTGTATTTGAAACTTTCGATATAAACTCACGTTGGCACTATTGGAAGAGTTGAATAATCGCCTCATCCTGCATGCTTTCATAACATACTACCCAAGGCTAATCTACCGCGTCGGACACAACTAAGAGCAATGCTGCTGTAGATTAGATGAAATGTTACCACATAAAGAAAAAGTGCAGTGAATAGGAGCAGTTGTATGGTGGTGAAGGCGTGGGATTAATTAATCAACGTGTTTGTGTGCATTTGTCTCCTCGAAATGATTCCGTCAGCATTGTTCCTCATTCTTCTGTTGATCAGTCGGAGTGATCGTTGTAGTCGTTGTCGCGGCTGCAGTTGTCGACCGTAATGTTAGTTTGTATTTGAATAATAAATAAATTTCAGATCAACTTTTCCATGCTCGAGAAGCTCTTCTTCCTCCTTATTTCTCCCTGTTGGCTTGGCTAGCCATATTCAAATGGACGCGAACAACTGCATTTGTTTTTTTAAAGATTTAATTTTCTATTTCTATATTTTCCACACTTGATTTTGCTTACCGCTCTATTGCTGTGTTGCGTTTTTTTTTTGTTTGTTTCTTTGTTCGCTTCGCATGTGCCGTTGTATCAGATTAATAAAGATTTTAGGCTTCCCGCATAGGTTAACCCGAAAAGATTGAAATAAATAGATGTTTATAAAAAAAAAATGTCTCTCGAAGAAGCCTAATCAATTTTTATAAACTTTTTTATTCACTGTATCCGAGTTGGAGGTCGAAATTCGAAAATTGTCTCTCTCTTTTTTAGATTTCGGAGGAGGTACCGAGTAAGTCAAACAAATCAAGAAGCGCATATTCCAAATAAATTCCAAAGGTATAAGAAAATAAATTAATTTAATGGAGAATGCACTTTGCGGCTTTGATTTCATTTGGACCCTTAAAACTCATCACATGACCTCGTCTTGCCTTATGAAACTCAGCAGCACAGTATATGGGGCTTTCTATACCAAAATGGACGGGGTTCACACTTCATGTGTTTGATGATTTGTCTCAAATTTTTAGGGTTGATGGACAAACATAAATAACACTGGATCAAAAATTTTAATTTAATGTCTATGTAGAATTGCTCGGTGATTCCGAAATTCGGGTTAAGTTTTTTCTATGGATACGTTTTCAAAAAAATAAAGCAAAAATTGGTCCCTTTTAATCAATTTAAAAATCATAACATAAAATAAAATACGGCAAATGAAAGCCAATGAAATTCTTCTTAAACCGTATATACATCACTTTCCGATAGTACTTTCAAAATTTTTGCCTTTAAAACATTTTATGTGTATATTTATGTGTATTTTTAAACCTCTCATATTCAAAATCAAATTATGAACATCTTGTACGTATATTTCCACAGATTTCGGTTTTTTTTCAATTAAATAAATACTTTCAGTAGTAGTTTTATATGCACTTTTTAGAGTGTACCTAGTTAATTTTTTTTCAATTACTATATAAATTTTTCATATCAGTATAAGCAATGACTCGTGATTTATGGATTGTACAAATATTACAGATAACAAACTGGCAAGGGTTTTCATTATATTTTATAAGGGACATTTTTTTTATTTTTTTCATATTACCTGCTTATAAATTGACCCCTGAAAAATCCAGAGCTCATTTAGAGGACAGTTTAATAAATAAAGGACAAAAGGCATCCTTAAACAAAAAAAAAGAAGAAATATAAAGGGCATGGGGTTCAAGTAAAGCCCGGTCCTTTAAAATAAAGGACGAATGGTCAACGTGTACATATGTATGTATATAAAAAGGCACACATGCCTACTACTTTTTGATACTGTCTATATCGTAGCACACCGTCGCTACGCTATGCACTCTGACCCTCCCCACAGCAAATTGTATTGAGCTGAATATGCCAATTGATTTTGTAATTTTAGAAATATTAAAGTGGATTATTTTTCATTGCATTATCTACAATGAAAGAAGCCATGCAAATGCAAAGAATATGACAACTTAGTGTAAATATTTTTCATAGCAAAAACTGCAGAAATAAACATACACATAAAAACAAACATATTATTTCCACATACATACATACGTACATACATGTATACAAAATGTCGATGGTATTATTTATATATGTACCTATATTGTATGGCATTTATATTTGCAGCTGTCAATGGTATGGCAATATAATATAGTATTTATTGTATTTTTATTTTATTGCATTTATTTGCCTATATTTGTATTGTGCATGTGTATTGCAGGTACAATATGGATATTTACATGTGTGAAATATTTGCAAGTGCTACGACGACAACCTGTACTTGCGGTGCACTCATGCGATAGGGGCACTATAATGTTTTCAGCGCCGTTGGGGTCTTCGTTTTTGCTTCTTATTTAATTTTCATGATTTCTTTGCACTTTTTTGTTCTTGTGCTTCCCTTGCTGCGAATGCAAAATGATATTGCGCAAATGAGATACATATGTATGTATCTCAATGTCATTATTTGTGTCATATGACAACTAAAAGCAGTCACTAACATTTGTTTCTCTGCTGGTAATGAAATGCATCGAACATGTATTAACTCAAAATTCGTAATTTTTGAGAATATGCACTAAAACGGCTTACAGATCGTATATTTATTTTGCAGTAAAAGCTGAAGTAATATTTTATTGCAAACTATCGCAGAAAATTAGGCAATACACTTTTGGTGAACGTGTGCGAAATATGCTGCATAAATTCATATTATGGATGCAGAAAAAATATCGATGCTTCGGACACACCGATGTTTGCTATTCGGTGCATCGAATAAAACCGATGTTTTGGACCTTCCGATATATGTATGTATATCGATATATCGGTGTACACTGTACGCATTAAAATTATTTTGTATGCTTCCAAACTCTTTGCTCTAGTATCTATTCTAAATGTGGAAATTTCACTATTTATGCACTATTAGAATATACATTATATTAACATTACGCATAAGGTATGAGTTATTTGCACTAATAAATTGCTAATTTATAAGTAAAAACGTTTAGTGCCAAACAACCATCTACAAAATGATATTAATTGATATGCCATTGACCTTTGATTTTGTTGCACACCATCGGCCAGAGGTTTAGGTCCTCATCCTGAGGGACTGAAAACATTAGTACTTCAACGTTATATGTATGTGCTTTTGTACAAGCGGCAAGAATTTCTTGGCATGTTTTCTCTTATTTTTTCTCAAATAAAAAAACTTCAACTCATGATAATAATGAATATAATGAAATAATAATGACTGAATGATAATAAATTACCAAATATGTTAATCATCGTACAGTTTCCTAAGTAAAAACACTATCAGCTGATTGCCAACAAATGCCTACAGCTGAGATCACCTGTTTTTTGGGCATTTGCTCTTATCTTTTCTATCTTCATTTCTATTATAATTTCTTCCATTTCTATTACAATTTATTCAAAATACACTAACACATTGAACCAAAAACACCAATACACTAACCAAAAACACACCTACAGCCTGCCAGGAAAAACGGTAAGAAGAGGAGTTACTTTACTTATGAAACTGTACGATGATGTAAATGTACCGAAATAGAATCTCATTGCTAAATAGCTGGCACACTTTATATTATTTTACTATGCTTATTGTCGTCACTTCAGTACCTTCAGAAAACTTTTTTCGAAAGCTTCTCAAAAAACTGGGATTTGTAACTATTTAAATCAATAAATACATTTTTCACTGTGAGTTAATACTTAAACATTTATCGAAGCCCCCATTGTTTCATTTTCTTGTTGTATATTTTTAATTGAAAGAAACTGTTGATATTTTGATGCGATGCATCGAAAATATCGATGTTTTTATACAATATATCGATATGAATCAATGTTATATGTCGATGCATCAAATGGAAAAAAAACATCGATGTATTTTTTTGACTTGCATCCCTAATTCATACATATGCAACTAGTAAGAGGGTACGAGGAAGTACGAGTGGTTGATAATAATGCCATATTGTAGTTTTACTTTCACACTATACCTACATAAATCATAACTGCGCATACATTTCAAATCGAAAATTTCCGTCATTCGAAATTTGGTCATCGCAAACTTTTACGGTACAAAATCGGTTTCTATTCAGATATGGAATGCAAAAAAAAAAATTATGAATATTACAATTATGAATTATAATTGGCCAGTATCTATATATATATAATCTACATATATATATAATACGCGAAGGGACTTTTTTGTCCAGCACACAATATCTGTACCATTCGCCCGATTTTCAAAAATGGGATGTCAAATTAAAGCGCTTGGTCTGTAGATGTTTTTTCAAGAGTTGCCACCTGTTGAACAACAAAACTCAAATTGTTTAATAAACAATGCCATCATGTCCGCACCGTTTGGTCGATCTTCCGAAATGAGGTGTCAAATTAAAAGGCTTGGACTTTAGATGTGCAATAAGGTTTTACTTTTTTGAAAAGAGTTGCCACTTTAAAAAATTTGATTCAAATTGTTTAAAAAAATAAATCAATTATTACAAAATGGGTATCGATCGAAATGGTTTTTAAAATCTTTTTTTTCTTAGCTGAACTACAGGAGGGTTACCACCTGTTTAAAAAATCATGTTAGGTAAGAGAAATATTTATCGCCATATGGGTGGCAAATGAATGAGGTTTTAGAAAGTAGTAGCTTGAAAATATTTTGAAGAGGGTTGCCACCTGCTTGAAATTATTTTACTTATACACAAGTTAGATGAAATATAAATGTCAAACGAAAGAGTTTTACGAAATCTTCAGTTTGAACACTAAGAATATTTTTGAGGTATGGGAAGAGGGTTGCCACCTGTTTTAAAAGTTAAATTTGAGTTATTTAATCAGTTAAGAGAATTAATAAAATATCAATCAAGGTATCAATCAAAAGGGGTCTGTTAAATTTTTATTTCTGACTGTATTGGGGTTGCCACATGTTTGAAAAACCAAATTCCACTTAATTCATCAGTTAATTAAAACATGTATCGCAATGTCCGTCGAAGGAGAGTTAACAAGGATTAAGCTTGAAATTACTTTTAAAGAGGGCTGCCACCTGTTTGAAAGGTCCAACTCAATTAAGTAATACAAAAGGTATATGAAATATAAAAATACAGAAATCAAACAAAATAATGTTAAGAAATCTTTAGTTTAAACATTCGGAATGTTTGAAGAGGGTTGCCGCGTGTTTAAAAAGTTACATTCAAAGTATTCAAAAAGTAGGGTGATTTATTAAATGATGGCTGTCAATCGAAAATGGGTTTATTCCTTACCTTATTTAGAAGGGTTGCCTTTTATTCGAACAAACAAATTCAAACTACATACATAGTTCGTCAGCTTATTAATATACATGTGTATCACAATGTCAGGCGAAAGAGATTTAAGAATATTTTAATTTGAAAATACTTTTGATAAGGAATGCCGATTCATTAGTAAGTACTTATCGCTTGTTTGTTGGAAAAATGCATATATGTAATACTCCTATATTGGCAGTAAGAGCTAGTACCGTCCGAAAACACTACAGTACAGATATATCAATGAACACACGTACGAAATAAAAGGAACACACACGTTTATAAATAAACATGTACACAACCACAGAATAAACAGTATACAGAAGACGCACCACATACAAATTTATTTTTCTTCGGCGGACGTAATATTACAACCCGGACCAGAGCAGAGAAGTTAACATTACGACCACTATGAATAACATGGCGACCCGGAACAGAGCAGAGGAGCTAACATCACGTCCACTATGAATAACATGAAGTTAACATCTCGCCATAAACACACATCGTGAACAGCGTTGCCGCGAGCTGGAAAAAAATGTATCAGTTGCCAAGCAGAAAAAGTATCAAAAGCAAACAAAACTGTTGTTTATTAAACTATTATTTAAAAAACAAATAATAAATAAAATTTTATAATTAAATCCATAGTTATAAAAAAAATTATATATCTTGCTTTTGTCTGCTTATTTGCATAATGAAAAACAAACTTATAGGGCCCCTAAACCTCACAAAATCCTTGCGCAACCCGAGACTTGTACAAGTCAATATTGTGGAATTTACTACAGCATAAAATTGCGCAAACCTTATTTTGAAGAAACGTTGCTCAAGTAAATATGTGCAAGAAATATGAATGTGCGTTGTATATATTGATAGCTTCATCTTTAAAACGTAAAAAAAAACTAAATTCAAAAAAATATATTTTTTTCGATATTTCGTAATGTTTTTGTGTGGTTTAGGGGTCCTATAACAGTTATAAGAGTTACCCAATCAACTTATAAATATCTATATATAAATTGTGAGACTTCAAATAACAATAAAAAAATATTAGCCTTTAGACTAGTAGTACTATTCATAGTTTTCGAAAATTCATTTCTGCCAGCCGAAAGTATCAAAATACGGCATTTGGGAACAAAAAAGGATCAGATATTAAAATTTAGAAAAACAGTATTAAAAAATATACAATTGTACCAAAACGGCAACGCTGATCGTGATGGAAAACGTAGTTAACATCTTGTCGTCATAGCGACGATGGAATTAACATCGTCAGCCGAGTGAAAATACTGCTAAAGTAACAAAGGCAGCGCCGCTTGTGATACCCTTGCTTGCCTCACCGCTCGTGCCATAAATTCAAATTGGTTGGATAGTCGACATGCGTCTTCTGTATACTGTTTATTCTGTGACACAACACATATACAAAAACGGCACTCAAGTACACAATACATTGACAAAAACGGTACTAGACTGTCTCGCTTTGATTTCGGAATGCTTACACATTGAGAAGTTAGCTTCCTGCCAATATAGAAGTATTACGTATATGGAAAAATGTCATAAAATATTTTTTTTTTATATTAAGCCACATCACCCCAATGTTTGATAAATCGAACACTGATTTTTACGCTTGTTTGTTAATGTTTCAACACTGCTTTTCAGAGTTTAGGAGACAAAATTTTGCATACTTTAATGAAATGAAATATTTGGTGTATTATTATATATGCATACTAATTAGCAACTGCGGCTTAAAAGTATTTTTGTGTTGTTTGATACCCGTAATATAATATTTAATTTGCTTTATCAATTTAATTTAATAAAAATTTTCAAACAGTTTGCAACCTTCCTCAAATATATCTGCGGCAGTAAACTTTCCTAAACCTCTTCAGTTTGATAGCCATATTGTAATATTCAATTGATCTTATCAATTAAATTAAATGAAGCTTTTCAAGCATGTGGCAACCTACCACAAAAATATTTACGGCTGTAAGTCTTCTTAAACCTCTTTCTTTTAACAGCCATATTGGAATATTTACTTTATCTTATCAATTAACTTCAACTGCAACTTTCAAAAAGGTGGCAACTGTCTATTTTTCTCTTTCTAGATTTTAAGTTAGACCTCTTGAAATACATACATCGGTGAAAACTGTATATAGATAGTTCCATGCATTAGGATTAGAGTGATGAGCGTACAAACATACATATGTACATACAGACAGTCAGTATGTCAGATAGACAGAAAGACAGACAAAAGTTCTAAAAATTGTTGATTTAGCTTCTGTTACTCTCAATAAATACCCTCCATATTAATTTTTCTTTAATATCTACTATGTACAGATCGTCTGAGAAGAACCCTATTTTGTGACATAATTTTAGAAACATCCAAAGAAAAAATAACAATAAAAAAAAAATTGTACGAAGATCTCTTGCAAATAGAAAAATTATTCGCTAAAAATCCAATTGGAAAGGGGATATTGTGATTTTACATTTGATAACTTCAATATGATATTATAGTTCATTTCCACCAACTTTTACAGATGAATCATCTCTTCCCCCAAATGTTGCATTGATCGCGACATCTCGACTCAAATGTTCCACAAGCACAGCCAAACACCAAAGTATGCAATTAGCTATGTACTAGTTAGGCAATGACAAGTTCATGTTTCTCAAAATTCACAGCCTCCCCTTTTCACCACCAACACAGTCTTTACTTGTGCTCCACTGCTAGCTACATCCTCCAAGTAACTTGGCATGCGTATCCTCTTGATCTCATTTTAATATTTGCTATACAATATCCCGCACTACACATTGTTTGTTATTATTTATTTATATTGGTATATGTACATATGTACGTTGTACAATATTTCGTTTATTTTTCAACTGTTTGTCACTTAATCAATCACACACCAACACATCGCATGATTGACAGAAAGCCATTAAGCGCGAAAATAAGTTTTATATGAATGCGAGAAGCAGAGCATGAAATTTCTGCTTAAATTTAATAATAACGCAAGATTGGAATAAGTGCATGCAAACATACACACATACATATATGAACGTATATATAGACAGGTATACGCATTAAATCATAACATCCATCCATCCATCCTCCTTCCATCCAATCAAGCATACGTTGACTTTCGGTGGCATCAAAACTAAAGCGCCCAGCCAACAAAACAATGACAGGAACGGTGGTACATCGAATGTTGAATGATTTGTACTAAAAATATATTTATAAATACATATATGCAGATACATATATGTACAAACATACAAATATATATACATACATTCATATGTATAAGCAATGAAGGAAATCAGCCTTGTATAAAACTTAATACAGTTGCGGTAAAATAAGATTTCTGAAATTGAATTTTGAATTATTTTTTACGTAGCACTAACTACATTTTTTTATGCATATCTACATACATACATACATATTACATACTTCTATACCATCTGCATGGATTAAATGTACATACATATGTACATAAGCGAGCAAAATATTAATATAACTAAATTAAAATTCATCACCTTATCAAGAAAATTCAACGGTTTATCGGATAGTTAAAAAAGTGGAAATAAGGGCAAAACATAACTTTTTATACTTAGTTCGTCGAGCGAAAAATCTGTACGAATTCGTTCGAATTGTCATGATTTTTGCTTAAATTATCCAACACTCAAAAATTGAGAGCGCAAAGTTACAAGTTTCTTTGCGGAAAATTTGCCTATTCTTGCTGGATAAATTTTTGCCAGCAAGAATTTTCGATCACGAAAAACATATGATTGTGTCACATTGTTTGAATTTTTATGGACAATAATTTGAATAAACAAGTTCGTTAAATTTAAAAATTTATAAACT